TTTCCTAGCTATACACTTCTCTCTAGTACCAACAAAGCCAAAGTCTGCTGATTTGCCCCTCCTTGTCCTGACTCTTAGTCTCTTCACATTTCATGAACTTCTCAAAGTTCTGTTGCACTGCCTCTATGATATTTGCAATGACAGGGTCCTCAGGTTTGTTTTTCTCTATTATGGTTCTGTGCTTTGTAATTCCTTGGTTCATGTGGTTACCTGCTAGGTAGATTTCTCTATCACGTGTAGCCTGAGGGTGTCATGGTATGGCTGGAAGGGAGGCAGAAGAGACATCTCTACCCTCTTCTCCACTGCTCCCCTTCTCCAAGGGAGACTAATTCCTGCCAGAAGGAGAAGCAGGAGGTTAAATTCAGGAGCTTAGCCACCCTGCCCTCCTCAGGTAGAGGGGCTACAGAGCTGGAATTATTTCTGTCTGCTCCCTTTAAATATTATTAGTCTAAAAGATGTAGTTTTCAGGTTCAGGCTAAATTTCTTATCACTGTTATTAGTAGGGAAAGCGGGACTCTAACTTTACACCCAAGGCTTGACTCCTTTACTGTCAAATACCAGTTCTGCAATGAACACACATGGTGAGTAGCAAAGAAACTCATTTATCTAAAACAGGAGGAGAGCATATGTGGACAATACAGAGTGAAGGAAATCTTTTATTGGGAGTGAGGTAATTCAGTTCAATCAAGAAAGAGAATCTCACATCTTGGAAAAATTCCCCGGAGTCTCTAGTGTTAGCAAGCTGGAGGTAGGGACATGATGAAGACTCCTATCTCCTCTCAATGTCACCTTTGTCCCTTCAGAAATCTGAAGTGGGGGTTGGCATCATCCATCTTCTCTCCTGAAGCTGGAAGCCAGAAGCTACTGAAGTGACTGAAGAGACTCAAAAAGACTAGAAGAGATTCAATCTCCAGAAGAAACTGAAGAGAGTGAAAATATTTAAAGAAAGTGAAACTCTCTCCTTTCCCACTGTGGCCAACCGAATCTCACCCCTCACTCAGGCACAGGGTATTGATCTCCACCAATGAGGAGAGAGGCTAATGCCAGTGGGCTTTGAGACTTGAGTTACATGAGAAAGGTCAAGGTCCTCGGGTTTGTTCTGTCATTTTTGTGTATCTGCTCCATTAGGGACATTCTCTTTGAGTATCAGTTTGCAATTGTTGCAGTTATTACTCTTTCATTCTTTTGGGGAAATCTTTAGATCTAGGATAGTTTTTTATAATGGTCAGTTTTAAAAAATTTACTCAATTCTCCAGTTTTAACTAATAAACTGAGGCTTTGTGCCAGGGCCACATTACACCTCTTTCTAAACTTTTGGATGAGGTGGTTGAATGTTCTTTGTTTAAAGCTGGATTCCTGTACTGACCACTCCAGAAGTTTCGGCTCCCCTCAATCTTTGAAATGCAGAACACTATCACTGCCCCCTGTGACATCTCCATTCTGAATGCCATACATGCCACTCTGGTCGCTGCTATTGCCCTGGGCTTCCAAGGTCTCCACCCTGGTGTTTCCTGACTACTCTAAGTCTTTCCAACCTTTTTGTGGCTTTGGCTCGTGGGATGCTTTGTTCTTGCTGCTCTAGAACACAGAGCCTTCAAGGCTACGTTTGTCTATTGTACATAGCTGGTTTAGGGGCTAGGTATATTTGTCTTCACTGGTACTGGCTTTGCTTTGTGTTCCCTTATACAATTGCCCAAAGGTTTTTCCATACCTTTTTTTGCAAAGTTCTTTTGTGGAAGAAATTATTTACTGTAGTTTCGCAGTGGATTTTTTAAACCATCATTTGGCTGGTGTGAATTTTATATTTTTGTTCAAAGTCCTGTCAAAGACTTTCTCTGTATCTTAATATTATGATAATGATGGTATGCTCTATTTTTTCTCTTGTTGATATGATTTATTATTTGGGTTGGTTTCCTGTTATTAAATAATACTCATCTTCCTTTTATAAGTTCTACTTGATTATGAGAGACAATTTAAGTAATACTACTTTACATGTGTAAATATTTTAAGATTTTGAAAGTATCTAACTTAACCTTCACAACAATTCCACGTGGTGGGTGCTGTTATCCTCAATTTAAAAATGGGGAAACTGAAACTGAGAGAGATTAAGCAACTTATCCAATGTCACACAACCAAGTAAGCGTCTGAGGCAGATCAGGTCTTCCTGACTCCAAGTCTAGTATTCTGTCCACTGTGCCATGCAGCCTCTTAAAGCTGTTGATATTCACTGATGATCCAGAGCCTACACTGTGCCAGTGTGGTTGCCCAACTGTTGAGTTAATTATTTACATCATCAATAATGATAGAGACAGCGTGGCAGGATGGTATATGTTATGCTGGGCTTGGAGTCCAAGAAAACCTAGACTTAAATCACTATTATGGTATTTATTAGCTCTGTGACTGAGCAAGTCATTCCTCGCCTCCTGGAAACTCCCAAGACTTGTCAGCTGTGCCTTGGGTTTCATTCAAGTAGGGGGAGTTCTCTGCAGGCAACAAGCATTTATTAAGTACTTACTACCCTCTAAGTACCCGCTAAGCCCTTGGAATTGAATGCAAGCAACAACAACAACAACAAAAAGACAATTCCTGCCCAACTAGAGCTTACATTCTAGTAAAGTGAAATAACACATAAAAGGGAGTTGAAAGGGGAGGAAGATAACCCATTATGTAGAATCAGAAGCATAGCTGAGAAGGGAATGAAACATGGACAGCCTAGGTTCATCCCCAAAATGAAGGCCCTAGAAGGAGCTCATCAGTTGGAGGAGGCTGGAATGGAATGGAAATTCCAGGTTGAGAAGGCAGCTGAGTCAAGATAGTGAAGTCCGGAAAGTCACAAGCACAGCTAGTAGATGAATGCTAAATGAATAACAATTGATTCCAATATTCATTGAATTATACTGATCTATACCTTGTAGAAGGAATTAACCTACCAGTAGTTCTCTGCTTTAAGATGGTCTAAATGGTATAGGAAGTTTACTGTTAACAGTTTGGTAGAATTCTCTTATGAATTTGCCTAGGCCCAGTGCCTTTTTACAAGGCAGTTTATTAATAGTTTGTCTGATTTAACCTTCTTAATAGATCAATTCATTAGTCTCTCTTAAGGTTGTATACTTTTTTTGTTGGCTTGGGTATTTTATACTTCAGTAGGTAATCGTCTGTGTCTTATTGATTCTCAAATTTCTTAGTATGAAACTAGCTATAGTTGTTAGTATTTCATGAGCTTTGCTAATTATTTTGGTTGATTATCATTTTCTTCCGTTTTCTTAGTTGTTTCTTTTCTTGGTGTTTATTCTTGTTGTTTTTCAGGGGATCTCTGAGAAACCTGTCTCTTTGTTCCTCTTACACCATTTTAGACTGGTTTCATTTATAACGTTGTTCTCATGGAATTAATTGTGCCCTGTCGTACTATATGATATGATATTTTTTTTCAAACTAATTAACCAAGTTAGGTGAAATGTACCTGTTCATTCAGCCTATATTTATTGATCACCTACTATGGATATACTGTATGCATACTGTACAAATAATATGATTGCTTTGTAAGAACTAATGGGCAGAGTTGTAAAAGAATAGCTGACATAAATATATATATTTATATAAAGTATCTTGTGCTTTATAATTTACGAGATACTCTGCAGCTGTTATCTCTTTTGATCTTCACAGTAACCTCATTGAAGTAAATAAAACAGTAATTGTTATCCCTGTTTTACTGGTGAGAAAACTACCTCCTGAGTATCTAAAATTACTGAGTTGTTATTCAGTATTCTCAAATTGCCAAATATTTATTGAACCCCTATTATGTGTGAGGTTCTGATAAGTCAGAGGTTCTTAAGCTTTTTGTGTGCTAGGGAAAGAAGTGAGGAAAGGAGGAAAGAAAGGAAGGAAGATGAAAGAAGATAAGAAAGAAGGAGAAGGGAAAGAAAAGAAGGAAGGGAGAGAGAAAGGGAGGAAGATTCAGGTGATGCGTTTGTTGTTTTTTGAAAATGCTTTTTTCTCCTCCTCTATCCTTTGTTACAAGTGATGGTTTACTGGTTAGGATAGGGAGAGATTTCAAAATGAAGGTGCTATGAAAACAAAAGATACCATTTTTTTATATTTAAAGAAAAATAGCAAATCCATCAATATAGAAAATAATGTAAGAGTTTCTGGTTCTGACCTGAAGAAAATATAAACTTTCAGTCTTGACAAGTAAGGTCCTCCATAGTTAAATTCAACCTGCATTTTCAGCTTCTTCTCATAGCTTTCCAGTGTCATTACTATCTAGCACAGTACCTTGCAAAGAAGATGATTAATAAAGTAAATTTTCAACCTCATTTTACTCTCCTTCACCTACTACTTTCTATTCCAACCCAACTGAACTCCTTCCTCATTCTCTTTTTTCCTTTCCTGTTTCAGTGGCTATGCTCAGGAAAATCCATGCCTACAATGGACTCCCTCCCCAATTTCTCTCTGTTGAAGATTTTCCCTTCCTTAAAATTCTGACTCAGATGGTTCTTCCTCCATGACACCTCCCCTAAACTTTTTCCTCCTAGGTGAAAGTGATCCATTTATTTCTAGCTTAGCTTTCTTATTGGTCTTCCTATATCAAGTCTATCCTCTTTCCATACTATCCAAGTTTTCTTACTTTTGAATGTTAACCTTACTTTTCTGAAAATGAAGAAAAACTCTAGCTACATTATTGATTTTCTCCTTCCCAGTAACATATATTTGAAAGCATGTATGTATATTTTGATTCCACCCTCTCTTATTTCAGAACCTTCCCTGTCCCCAATTCTCTGTGTCTGTAAGTTCCAAGGAAATGATAGTTCAGAATTGCACTAAATAGGAGGGCTGCCTACGTGACATGGGGAACAAATCTCTGGTTTGACAAAATTACCCTTTAAATTATCTTTATGCCTTTGCTTATTTTGGCAAGAATACAAATTTGGCTTTTCAATATTTATTGACTGTTGTTTATTTTTTTCTTTATCATTCTTAACTTTTCAAACTTTGTGTTTTAGCCATCTCCACATTTGAAATTCAGCCAGATTCAATTGAAGTCCAAGAAGGAGGGGTTGCAAGACTTGCCTGTAAGATTACTTCACACCCTCCTGCTATCATAACTTGGGAATTAAATCGAACAAGCTTACCATTGGTTATGGACAGGTAAATAGACTTTTTTATTTGTCAGTGGGACTGTATTGATAAAAAAGGCCTTTTTTGAAAAAAGAGTTATTAGAGATGTACAAGAAGATTATTCAGGTATTAATGTATTTATTAAACAATTTGAATGAGCCTCATGCTTTAGAATAGAAATTAGAATCTTCTATGCCATATGTGTTAAAAGTGACAATTGTGAAGCTAGTCTCTAGTTATGTGCTTGGAGGTGAGATCACAGAGTTTGTCTCCCCAAGGACATCTTTTCCTCCTAGCTGTTCCCATGCCTGTACAAGTATACTAGAGCCCAGGCTGCCAGAAAGTATTCCCATCACATTTATGGTTATGAGCTTGCTAGATTCTATGGGCCTATATCTCACATCAGCTCATCTTATAAAAACCATTACAACAGTCCCCTCCCCTGTATTGTAGGAAGGACAGGGGTTAGCCTCTTAGCATGTGTCTTGTCAAAGTGCCAAAGGCACTTTAATTAATGGGACATGACTAGGTCAAAAACATTTTTCTAGAATAGGAACAGGGCTGCCCAAGGAAACTCTTCTCTATTTGGGACTTTCTTAGTGGAAATTAGCAGCTGGAAGTCTAGAAATTAGAGTTTATTCAGATAACGTAGTTATCTGTAGTTAATTGTAGTCTTGAATGCTGAGCTTTACTTTGTGAACTCTGTAGTTAATTTTCTTTTCTTTCTTTTTTGGCTAGGCAATGGGGTGAAGTGACTTACCCAGGGTCACATAGCTAGTAAGTGTCAGGTGTCTGAGGCCAGATTTAAACTCAAGTCTTCCTGAATCCAGGGCTGGTGCTCTATCCACTGTGCCACGTAGCTGCCCCTATGGTTAATTTTCATTCTTGGAAAATACAGTACAAAAATTATGTTCACGGCTCCATGTTATAAAATCCCTTTCCCTCTTTAGAGAATAGTATTGGCTCAAAGTAAAACTATGAATAAACTGTGTTATGAAGGCATCAAATATATTTTATACATTTCTTTGAAAAGAGGTAAAAGTAATATATTCCTTCTTAGAAAGTTTCTCTAAAAGGAGAAGCAAAAGCTAGTACAAATGATTCCATTATCTTTTTGCTTTTATAATAGGATAACAGCTCTGCCATCAGGAGTGTTGCAGATCTATGGTGTTGACCAAAAAGATGCTGGAAATTATCGTTGTGTTGCTACTACTGTAGCCAGTAGACATAAAAGCATAGAAGCTACTGTAACTGTCATCCCAGGTAACAAGATGAATATTTCTTTTTTTTTTTTTTTTTGCTTTTCTTAGCTTTTGTCTTTTAAAAGATATTGACAGCTAAATGTAAATCATTGTAATCTCTTTGTAGTAACATCAGTTATGAATTTTAAAGTGGCAGCCCCAATTATCATTCAGATCATCTTATTATAGGGTAACTTGTCTACAAAAGATGCTAGCATCTTTAATAAAAATTAAATATATGCCTTATAGGTTCTTAACATATATTGTTTTTTATTTGCATTTTGCTTTGTAGGTTCTCAAAAGAAATAGCAATATTAAATGAGTTAAAGTGTAATCAGAATTGAATGATGAATTTTCAAGTAGACATTTTTTGAAAATTTTTGCCATATTATATTGTATTTCGTGGATTGTTTCATTTTTAATTATATCCATTTTCTTTTATTTTCAAAGCCAAGGAGTCCAAGTCCTTCCACAAGCCAACTATTATAGCAGGTCCACAGAATATAACAACTTCTCTGCATCAAACTGTTGTTTTGGAATGCATGGCTACGGGAAATCCTAAGCCAATCATTTCTTGGAGCCGTCTTGGTAGGTTTGCCTGAAACTATTTTTGTTCATTCTGCTATAACAAATTAAAATGTTTATTATAACATAATTATGCTATTTTGTGGATTTCTTCTGTAGGAAGTTTTGTAAAGTTTTATATTTGTTTCTGAAACAAAGGGAAAATATGCCTTATGCAATTCTGCTTTATACCATTTTAGTGCTTACTCTCTAGTTGTAATATTAGAACAGATCTTAAATCCTTGTAACTGGATCATTTTCTTTGAAATAGATCACAAGTCCATTGATGTATTTAATACTCGAGTACTTGGAAATGGTAATCTCATGATATCTGATGTTAAGCTGCAGCATGCTGGGGTATATATTTGTCGTGCCTCTACCCCTGGCACACGGAATTTCACAGTTGCCATGGCAACTCTAACTGTACTAGGTAAGTTTGCTTTTTCCTTCCAATAAAAAAAATTAAAATTTCCTATTTTGCTTTCTTATTTTTTAAAGCTGACAGTTCATCCAGTTAAGTTAAGGTTTTTATGTGTTACTTAAGTGATTTTTGACTCTAAGCTTATGAATAGAAAATTAGAATGATACATTAAAATCCAACTCTCTTTCCATGTCCTCCTTGCTGACTGCCTTAACTGTTCATTTTATCCCACCTACCAACCCACTCTTTTCATTTCATCTCCCTTTCTCCCCGTTACCAAAATACATGCCCTTTCAGCCATGCTGAATGGAGAGGCAGGTGTGGTATTTTGACAGAAACATGTTCATGTGGGAATCAGGAGGACATAGGTATTTTATAATAGCTTGGTGACCTGGGAAAGTTCTTGAACTTTTCTGAACCTCAGTTTTGTTGTCTAAAAAAATGAGAAGTTTAAACTAGATAATTGTTATGGTTCTTTCTAGCTCTAACATTCTATGATAACAAATACCATTTTATCAATAGAGTCTCTGTTGGAAGTGGCCTTTGAGGTGATCCAGTCCAACCCACATTTTAACGTTAATCTCCTGAATCCTACCTAATATATCCCTCTTGAAGATTTCCAGTGATGAAAATCACCAGAAGCAACCCATTCTAATTTTGTACTACTCTAATAATTAAGAAATTTTTCCTAAATTTTCCAGAATTTGCCTCTGCAACTTCCACTTGTTCCTAGGTCTACCCTTTGGAGCCCAAAAGAACAAGTCTAACTCTACTTCATTACAGCCCTTTAATATTTGAAGATAGGCATTACTTTCCCTACTTAACCTTTTTCTCTAGTCTGACTTGGTTCCTTTAGCTGATCCTTATATAGCAAAATTACAAGTCCCCTCGTCACTTTCCTATGAATAGGTACTAGTTTGTCAGGTTTGGGTTTTTTTGTTTTATTTTGTTTCTTATTTTTCTGAGACGGGAAGTGCAGTGGCCGCTCATGGGCTTAATCCCAGTACTAATTGGCACAGAAGCTTTATTTAAACCACTCCATTTTTCTGACCTGGTGTGATTTACCCCTCATTAGGCAGCCTGGTGGCCCCTCCACTTCCAATGGCTTATCATATTTGTGCTGGACAGTGCAGACTCTCAATCACCTTCAGCCTTAGACACCTTAGAACTCTGAAACCCAAGCCATCTATTAACCTCAGGCTTCCCTAGTAGCAAGGATTCCAGGTGTGTGCCACTATGCCCAGCTGTCAGTGTTCTTTTGAAACCAAAAACTAAATATAATGTTCCAGGGGTAGTCTAACCATCTGCCCCCCGTTTCTATATTGTATATGTGTATGTATATATGTATATATATGTATTTGTTCTTAGTTAACTTAGTTAACTTAACATTAACTTTTATGACTCCCATGTCACACTGTTGATTCATATTGAACTTGCAATCTCCTCATGTAGTTTTGCGATTGATTTTTTAAACTTAAGCCTACTTCTTCATATTTATCCTATTTTGTCTATTGAGTTATTGTGTTATCTGTTTATGTATATACAGATTTGCATGTGGACACACATCTATACGCTTATATGTGTTATTATATATTAAATGTACCTATATCATACCCATAACCTATATATATATAACCTATATATGTGTATATATAACGTGTGTGTGTGTGTATATATATATATACATATATATATACATATGTATGTATATATATATATAAACATGCCTGTAACAGACATGTATATCTAGTGTTTATGTGTGTATATAGTTATTTAGGGATTTTCTATGACAGGTAAATATCTGAATAGATATTACTGTGGAAAAGATGGTGGGCATGAGAATTTGCTTCTGTAGTTTGTAAATATGCACAACTATCTTCAGGATGATAGAAAGCTATCTTATCAGTTGGCAAGGAATCCTGTCTTAGATGGTGTGGGGAAAATCTAGACCAATAACTATCCTTTCTTTGAATCCCTCCATTGGAGATCTGAGAAATACTTTAGATTTTTTTTTTTAAACTTTTCCCAATAGCTCCTCCTTCATTCGTGGAATGGCCAGAAAGTTTAACAAGGCCCCGAGCTGGCACTGCTCGTTTTGTATGTCAGGCAGAGGGAATTCCCTCACCCAAAATGTCATGGCTGAAAAATGGAAGAAGGATTCATTCAAATGGAAGAATAAAAATGTATAACAGGTAAGATATGTTACTGTTCTGTTTCTTATAATCACAATTTTAAATCTATAACTGTAGATAAGAAAAATGGTGTTTTATGTTTAAATGAGATACAATTCCCTTAAAAATAATTTTGAAGGGGACGGCTAGGTGGCACAGTGGATAGAGCACCAGCCCTGGAGTCAAGAGGACCTGAGTTCAAATCTGGCCTCAGACACGTAACACTTACTAGCTGTGTGACTCTGGGCAAGCACTTAACTCCAATTCCCTCACCAAAAAAACCAAAACAAAACAAACAAAAAAACAATTTTGAAGTGAAACATTCAGGTTGATAATATCCAACATTCCTTGGTATTTTTATGGAAAACATTTAAAGCATCCTCAATTCCTCAGCCTTCCTCATGTCTAAATAAATATCCATTTAGTTATCAAGTCTTTTTAATTTCCACCTAGATTGCTCTTAAATCCATTCTTTTCCCTCTACTTACACTACACAGCACCCTTATTTGGTGCCTTAATCTCTGTCTCCTGGACTGTTTTAGTAGCCTCGTGATTGGTCTCTTTGTTTCCATGTTCTCTTCAATCTGTTCGTCATACACTGCCAAACTGATATTCCCAAAATATCTATCTGACCATGTCATTCCCCTGCTTAATAAAGAAGAATGGCTCTCAGTTTCCTCTAGAATAAAATGTAAATTCCTCTGTTTGGCATTTAAAGCTTTTCACAGATTAAATCCAGCCTAACTTTCCAGGTTTATTACCCATTATTCTCCTTCATACATTCTACAGTCCAGCCAATATTGATACCCTTTATGCAGAACATTTTGTTTCTCATATACATGTGTTTCCACAGGCTATTTCCCATATCTAGAATATATTTCCCTCCTCATCTCCTCTTCTTATAATTTCTGCCTTTTCTCAAGGCTCAGCTTAAGTGCCATCCTCCATGAGGCCCTTCTTAATTCTCCCAGCTTCCCTGCTTACTGAAAGTACCTTGTTTTCACTTTGTATGTATTCTGTGTGCCTCATTTTTTAAGATGTTCTTTCTGCTGAAAGAATATAGGCTTCTTGAATGCAGATAATGTTGTATTTTTGTTTCTGTATAGCCCCAGCACTTGCTACAGTATGTGGCATATAATAGGGATTTAAAAAATGGTTGTCGATTGATCAGAATCCTGTAGCATTCAGTTTCATTGTTAATGGATGAAAAAAATGATTAAACATCTGCTCTGTGCCGTGCACTGAATTAAGTTTTGAAAATACAAATTTTTAAAAATTGTCACACCCCTCTTTCTCATAGAGCTTATATTTTAATTGGTTAAGACTATACATAAAAGAAAATTCAGCTATAGGATAGATAGAAAGTCCCAGAAGTCCTAAGGGTCCTTTGGTGGGGTAGATGGGTGTGGCCCAGAGATCCTCAGGTAATATAAGTAGATCAGATGTCAGTGCCCAGGGACTATAGAGCATAAAGGAAGTCAGTGGCAAAGCAGATAGTTAGACCTGGTTGTTTTCTGTCTTATTAGAAGGAATGAAGTTCTTGACTCTCATCTTATCCAAATCCTTATGAGGAATCAAGTAGCCTTGGGGAAGAGAAAAGTTGGGAGAGTCAAAGGAGAAGGTGACGCTAGTGATGTCAAAGAGGGAAATGTGCCCCTATTAGTGCCCTCTTTCTCTTATTAATCATACTATAAAAGAGGCAGAATGGTATAGTAGAGACAATGTTGGACTCAGAAATTAATACATCTGGGGTTCCAGTCTAGGTTCTACCACTAACCAGAAGCATGACTTTTGGGCAAGCCATTTATCCTTTCTTGGTTTCAGTTTCTTCAGCTGCAAAAAGAGACTCAATATCCAATTTCCCTCCTAACTCTAAAATTTGCTGAGAACTTTATATGTATGTTAATGTGAATAAGCTTATCAGTACTATAGTTTGTGCTGAATAAAATATTTTATATCTGTTTTGCTAATTTGTAAAAAAGAAATACAGAATATATTCAACACTATTATATGTGGTGATAATTGTTGTTCAGTCCCATCTGACTCTGCGTGATCCCACATGGGGTCGCTTTGGTCACATAGTGAGAAGATGGGACTCATTGGAAAAGACCCTGATTTTGGGAATGATTGAAAGAAAAAGGGAAAGAGGACAGCAGAAGATGAAATGGATAGATAATGTCATGGGAACAATGAACATGAATTTGGACAGACTTCAAGAGGTAGTGGAAGGTAGAAGGGCCTGGCATGCTGTGGTTCATGGGGGCAACGAAGAGTCAGACAACTGAATGACTGAACAACAACATGGGGGTTTCTTGGCAGAGGTACTGGAGTGGCTTGCCCTTTCCTTCTTCAGAGGTTAAGTGACTTGCCCAGGATCATATAGCTAATGAGTGTCTGAGACCAGATTTGAACTCAGGTCTTCCTGACTGTAGGCCTAGCACTCTGTCCACTGAACCATCTAGCTGCCTCCTGTTTTAGTAGTACTGGTTAATAAGACCAGTGATGAGGCCAAATTTTGAAAAATACTTGCCAACAACTTTCTACTAAATGTGAAGCATTTGATTGCAATTGAAAGAGTGTGCCACATCACCCATGTGAATCATGGTGAATTTAACTGTCTTAACATTGAATGTCATATTCCCCCTTGTAGCTAATTTAGGCATTTATTAGCAATGAATTTTGCATCGTTCAGAATTTGGTTTTAGTGCAAGAAAAATCAGTAGTAGCTAAGAACTCATTTTTTATATTACTTTTGGAAAATTCTTTAGAAATGTATGTGACTTAAACAAAAAAAATTTTTTTCTTCCCTCAGCAAATTGGTCATTAACCAGATTATTCCTGAAGATGATGCTATCTACCAATGTATGGCGGAGAATAGCCAAGGATCTATTTTGTCCAGAGCCAGACTGACTGTCATAATGTCAGAAGATAGACCCGGTGCTCCATGTAATGTTCACGCTGAAACTATGTCAAGTTCAGCCATCCTTTTGGCTTGGGAGAGGCCACTTTACAATTCTGACAAAGTTATTGCTTATTCAGTACACTATATGAAAGCAGAAGGTGAGCTCTATTTAAAAGTTTGTTTTTAAATTCCTCTGACTATAAGGGATTTGTTTCTCAGTATAAATTATTTACATATTGGTATATAATCCTCAAGCAATGCTATTGTTTGGAAAGTTCTCTTTAAACAAAATTGTTAAAGTGATATAGATCTAATTTTAAAACAAGCAATACACTCCCACCAAAAAAAAAACCCTTAAATTTTTCTTATAGGAAAGTTCTAGATTTTTCTATGTTCAGAGCATGTGTATTTCTTGAAACCTAGTGTAAAGTATGTTTCACTTAGTATGAATTCCAAGCTAAAGGACTTAAGGGTTTCATTTGTATTGAGATATGAACTCTTAATGAATATTTAATGAAGAGATTAAGGTTATTTTATTATGTGGAACATAACTTCACTATAATATAGTAAGCTTTAATGTAAAGATTGTTTTTCTGTAACAATTTATATTGAAGTCATAAAATACATATTATCATTCTTCATGCTTGTATGCTTTTCATTCTCATATGCTTTTTGCTTTTTAAAGTTTTGTGAAGTTATACTTCTTAAATTAGATAAGAAGTTCTTTGTTGAATCTATTTTTTTTTCATTAAGTTTGAAATTGAGTCCATCTTGAAATTTCTGTTCAATTCTATTAGGTCTTATTTATTAGCCTTAAATTTCACTTTCAGAGGAATGCACAAAAGACAAAAAGAAAAGCATTTTTAAAAGCCCAGAGATTTCTCTAATGGTATCATATAACATGCAGTAGTTAAATACATTCACAGTTTTAATTGCACATCAAGTCAGCATTTATGAAATATAAACTGAAAACCACTTAAGATATTCTGGAAGAATAGTGTTGTAATAATGTTGTCTGAAGAAACTAACAGGTGGTTTTTTTTTATATTTTAAAGAGGAATATTTTACATTTAAATTAGGGGTCATGGTAGCAAGAAAGAATGAAGGTCTGATGAGGGAGCATGTTGGAGTATGTTAATTCCCTTGTTAGTGATTTAGAAAAGGCACAAAAGGAATACTGATTTTGGTGGAAGGCTGCTCTTGTTTTCTATTATAGCTGTTTGATTAGAACCTCCACATGAGGCCTACTAGTCTATTCATGGACAGAACAAGGCCCTTTAATTTGAACTCAAGAACCTTGTTTGGCAGGTCAGAAATCGTACTACGGGATTCCTAATTAACAAGCTATTAACTAGTCTGTTGTGAAATACCCATAATCTTATCTAATTAAAATGCTATCAAGTTAATTCAGAAATGTGGGAAAACTTAATAGTGGAATTTGCCTTCTGTTTTGTTTATAAATTCAGCTGTGCAGAGCAGGGGCTGCAGCCTTTAGAAGAGTTTTGATTAAGTTGACATGCATTTGCTATGAGTTGTTAAGGAAGCATAGTAGCTTTCAGTACACTCCTACTTTACAGGTTCAGTCTATAGGAATTAAATCCAACAAAGACAAACCCTGCTCTATACCTTTCCATGCATATTTTAATAAGAATTGATGAGAATTTTTTTTCCTTCAAAAGAGACTCATTACAGGACAAAACATTTTTAAAATCACATTCTGTGCCAGTCCTTTTGCTTTCACTATAAAAGAAAGTAAAACCTTATGTCAGTCTAATATAATAGAGTTGTTATTAGCAAAATGAGATCTTTTGCTAGATAACTTTTTGGTTTGTTTGTTTTAAAAGACAGTAATCACATCACATCCTCTGTGGTCAAATGTGAAGCCTTTGCAATTAAGTTTAAGAAAAGACCACGTTGACTTTAAGTAAATAGAATTAATATCACTTTGAATGATAAAACTGCAGTTTTGTGTTGTATTACTGTACACTATCTACTCTGTGTTTTGACTCAATATTGAATAAGGTTTAGGTAAGATGAATTGTGTTCAGGTTGATCTTATTCAGAAAAATTGTTAACTATGATAATTTGTGATGACACTGTTTCTTTCAGGAGTTGCTAATTTCTAATTTGCATTTTTTTAGGGGAATGGTAGATGCCAAGTAGAGAGTTAAAGATCAGAATTATATGCTTATTGCAATGATAGACCTGGGTAATTTTCATTTCATTTTGAAGGTATTTCATTTTTATATAGTAATTATTATTTCTCTAATTCAGGTTTAAATAATGAAGAGTATCAAGTAGTTATTGGAAATGATACGACCCATTATATTATTGATGACTTAGAGCCAGCCAGCAATTACACTTTTTATATTGTGGCATATATGCCAATGGGAGCCAGCCAGATGTCTGATCATGTGACTCAGAACACACTTGAAGATGGTAAGAAAGTAACCCTAGAGAACTAAAGTACTTTGTTAAAATTGATAAGTATTGTAATTAGCCCTTAAATTTGAGTTTTGAATTATGGAAAATATTAACTATTTTGCATTTTAAAAATTAGCAGTACTTATCTGTCATTTCAAGTATGGGTCTAAGTTACAATACTATTAAGTATTGTAAGGTAATTTAATATATATAGGTAATTTAATATATAAGATAATTTAAATGGTAAGTTATTTATAAAATAATTTTAATAATTTAAAATTTTGATAACTAAATCACAGTGTAATAAGAAGACTGCCGTATAGTTATTTTCTTAGCATTAAGACATATAGTTGAAATTCTAAATATGATGCCATGGCTTAAGTCATTGGAATGAGAAAATGACTTAGATTACATGGAATGTGGCTTAGGCATTTTATGGTGTGATCTTAAATTTATATAAGGTCTTTCTTTTTTTTAATGTGTATTCATTTATTTATTTTTAGTTTTTGACATTAACTTTTATAAGATTTTGAGTTCCAAATTTTCTCCCTCTCTCCCCTCACCCTCCCCAAGGCAGCATGCAATCTGATATGTTATACATGTACAATCATATTAAACATATTTTACATTAGTCATGTTGTGAAAGAAGAATCAAAAGAAAAGGGGAAAACCATGAGAAAGAAAAAAGAAAAAAAGAGAGAGAGAGAATAGTATGCTTTGATCTGTATTCAGACTCCATAGTTCTTTCTCTTGATGTAGTATATAGGGTGTTTCTAACAAGGGGCTTGAAATACTTGTCCTAATTTTGAGGCAAATTGTTTAGACATATGAAATGTGGGGGGGGTTCTATATTATTTGCATGAATCTTAGTATCAGTTTCATAGATCAAAAATGTTTGGAAAATCTTGAAAGATTTCTTATTAATAAGTGATATGTCTAGTTTACATTACTTTTTAAGCCAAATTAATCAGACCTATGGATTAGAAATTATTTGCCATGTTAATCAAAGAGATATGAGTTAAAACAGCTTTTGAGTTATCATCTTATGTCCATTCAGTAGAGAGATATAATTAAATTCAAGACATTCTGTGCTGATCAGGTTTTGTTTTTAGTTTTGTTTTTAGTTTTATTTTTGTTTTTTGCTTAGGCAATTGGTGTTACGTGACTTGCCCAGGGTCACACAGCTAGTTAAGTGTTACCTAGCTGCGCCATGATTAAATTTTGGAGAAATAAAGCTACTATTTAAGTATCTTTTTGCATAGGAAAAAGTAATGCAGTTAGAATTAGAAGAAAAACAGTGAAAAATATTTGTAGCAGATTTCTTTAGTGAACATCTTATACCCACGATATATAGGAAACTGATGCAAATGTACAAGAATAAGAGCCATTTCCCAATAAATAAATGGTCCAAGGATTTGAACAGGCAAAATTTAAATGAAATAATGAAAATTAACCATAATAAACATTTGAAAAAATGTTCCAGACCACTAACAATAAAAGAAATGTGAATTGAAGCAGCTCTCAGGTTCTTCACACCTATCAGATGGGCAGATATAATAAAAAATGAAAATGACAATTATGTCTAACTAAAAACCATTTAGGGCTATGAAGATAGCACAGTGGGGCTGTGAATTGTTCCAGTCATTCTGGGAAACACTTTGAAACCCCACCCAGAGTCACTAAACTATGCATATTCTTTGACCTCTTGATACTACTTCTCAGTAGTATCAAAAAGATCAAAGAAAGACAGAAAAGCACCTACATGCACAAAAAATATTTATAGTAGTACTTTTTGTTGTAACAAAGAATTGGAAACAAAGTAGGCACCCATCATTTGGGGAATGGCCTAACAAATGATGGCATATGAATATAATGGAATATTATTATACCATAAGCCATAACTAATAGGGCAGATTCAGGGAAACCTGGGAAGATTTCTATAAACTAATGTAGAGTCAATTGAAGGGAACCAGGAGAATAATTTCACTCTTTGTGCCTTCTTGTCAATTCAGCAAGATTTAATTAAGTACTTAGGATATGCCAGGCACTGTGATATGAAGAAAGGCAAAAAAAAAACAACAGTCCCTGCTCTCATGGGGTTCACAAACAATGACGTATATGATATAGATAGATAGATAGATAGATAGATAGATAGATAGATAGATAGATAGATAGATAGATAGATAGATATAGTGTAAATGGAAGGTCATTTCAGAGGGAAGACACTAGGAATGGAGTGGGTATTGGACAGCCTCATATAGAAGGTTGTATTGGAGGTGAAACTTGAAGCCAGGGAAACTATTTTAGTCATAGGGGACAGACACTGAAAAGGTATAAAGTAGGGTGATGAAGTGTCATATGTGAGAAACAAGAAGAAGGCTGGTATTGCTGGACCAAAGACTATATGAAGGAGAGTAAGGTGTAAGAAGACTGGAAAGACAGGAAAAGGCCAGGTTGTGAAGGGATTTAAAGCCAGAGGGTTTTATATTTGATTCTGGAGGCAATATGAAACCTCTGGTTTGTCAATATGCATTTATTAGGTGCCTCCTATTTTGCACTGGCTAAGTGCTGGGAATATAAAGAAAGTCAAAAGGAAAAAAAAGCAGAAAAAAAACCAGTTCCTGATCTCAAGGAGCTCACAGTCTAACTGAAGGAGAGGACATGAAAAACAACTATGTTCAAACAAGGTGTACAGGATAAATTGGAGATGATCACAGAGGAAAAATGTCCAATCACTAGCTGGTGATACAAGACTAGAGGTCAGGGAAGAGGTTAGGGTTAGATATGTAGCTCCAAAAATCAGATCCAGTATTGTTGGTTGTATTGATGTCTAATGTTGCTCATGGCAAACCATTAAATTTAAAACAAATTAAGGTGTTGTAAACCCCTAAAAGAAAATTCATTAAGTTATTATGGTGATAGAAAAATGTCTTTGCATCATAACTCTGTTCTACTGTCTTTGAAGCAGTAGAAAAAGAATTTTCTTTATCCAAAAACTTGAGAACAAATATATTTCTGTATACCTCTGTTTGTTTAGTCTTTTCTGTCACTTTGGTGCATCTATACTGAGAGCTTCCTCTTTTTGGATAGCTATCCTTACTTTTGTTCTTTTCCCTTTTTTTGCCATGTACTAGATGGAAAGGAGTTGAAACCATCATAAAAATTCTTTTTTTAAATTTCTTATTTTTATTTATTTATATTGTTTATTAATTTCTTATTTTTATTTTTTATTTTATTTATTTATTGTTTATATTTTATTTTTATTCTCCAAAACCTTTAACTGAAAATTTTTCTTTAATGACCTTAATTTCTTTTTAGATTTTAACCTTTTAATTTCCTTTAAGAGCAAACAAAACTTATCTTCAAATCAACTTGCTCTATTCTTCTTGACTATTCTCATTTCCCACTGTTTATTAAATCATACTCTCAATCCTGTCCAAACTTAGCTCTTTTGGTGTTCCTTATTTTTGTATTGTGCATATTAACTCATAACCTTAAGTGGTGGTATTATTATGGCATGAAAGTGACCTGGTTTCTCAGAGACTATGCTAGTAGACCACAAGCTTCAGAGATTTTACCACAATGGAAAAGTCTTTCTCCTTACCAGATTCCCTCTATTTGTACCCTGGCCTATTGCCTCTTGTCTTCTCTGGAAGCTTTCTCCTTTTATTGCCTCTTCTTATTTTCAGCCTCTCCTTGTCTACTGGATTCTTCTCTGGTATCTGCAAACGTTCCTACCTTTCCCCTATCTTAAAAACAAGCAAACAAACAAAAACTCTTGAAGATCATATGATCCCCTTACAACTGTTATACTATACTTCTTTTCCCTTTCATAGCTGTAATACAATTTTTTTTTGCCTCCACTCCACTTCCTCATCTCTCATTAACTTCTCAGCATTTTGCAGTTGGCCTCCTCCCTCCCCCACCAGTTGGCTGAATCATTCTCTCCATAGTTACCATCACTCTTTCTGAATTCAGATTTTTTTTCCTTCTTCCTTTGTAAAGACAGTACTTTGACTCTTCAAATATTTTAGCTTAGTCTGTTTTAGAGCAATTCTATTACTACTAAGCCCAATTGGATGCCAGTCCCTCTATCTTTTAGGCATAGTGGAGCAACGTACATGTTTCCTGCCCCAGGTCCTTCTTTTCCTCAGTGCTCTAGCTGAACTCTGTTGCAAGACAGGGCACCCTCCCATTAAAATACTAGCCAGAGCAAGCTTATGCCTTTTGGATTTTTGCAGCATGAGGGAGAAGAGGAGGTTCATAGAATCATGTTATATAGTTAGCCCATGGGTTAGCTTTGTGCAGCCTTGCAAGAGAATAGTGTCCAGTGGGGAAGGGGGTGCTGAGTGAGTGTGTTACGGATTAGCCTTGTTTTTTGTTAGTTCATCAGGTTTAACATCATTTTTAACTGGTGCCTTTAGACCATGGAAACAAATGAAATTGCTTTATCTCTTGCACAATATTTCTATATTGGAGACATTTGAGAGGTCATGAGGATACAAGAAAATATCTTCTCCTCCATCTTGTACGTCACCTGACCTTACAGCCTACCACAGCTCTTTTTTTTAGCTTTTATTTAGTATTTTATTTTCCCCCACTTACATGTAAAAACAATTTTAACATTCATTTTTAAAACTTTGAGTTCCAAATTCTCTCCCTTCCTGCTTCCCCACCTCCCCCCATTGAGAAGGCAAGCAATTCCATATAGGTTATGCCTATGTAGTCACGCAAAACATATTCATAAGTTGTGTTGTGGGAAAAAAACAGACAAGGAAAAAAAACTCAAGAAAAATAAAGAAAGTAAAAAAAAAGTATGCTTCAGTCTACATTCTGACACCAACAGTTCTTTCTCTTGGGATGGATAGCATTCTTCATCATGAGTCCTTCAGAGTTCTTTTGGATCATTGTATTGCTGAGAATAGCTAAGTCATTCATGGCTAATTATCTTACAACATTGCTGTTACTTTGTACATAGCTTTGCATCAGCTCATGCAAGTCTTTCCAGGTGTTTCTGAGAGCATCCTGCTCATCATTTCTTATAGTACAATAGTATTCCATCACAATTACATACAATAACTTGTTCAGCTATTCCCCAGCTGATGGGCATCCTTTCAGCTTCCCATTCTTTACCTCCAGAAAAGAGCTGCTATAAATATTTCTGTATATACAAGTCCTTTTCCTTTTTGCTTTTCTCTCTTTTGCGATACAGACCTAGTAGTCTACTTTAACTCATAATTGCTGTTTACATTGGTCTTTCTACTATCCTTCTTGACCTCTATGCAGCATTTGGCACCATTGACCACTCATTCCTTTTAATTACTCTCTCTTCCCTCCTTTGAATCACTGCTTTCTCCTGGTTCTTTTATCCTCAGTTTCTTTTACTAGATTGTTAATTGTGTCCCACTCCCTAACCTTGGTTATTCCCCCCCAGGTTCTGTCTGAGTTCCTCTTCTCTTCCTTTGTGATCTCATCAGCTTCCATGATTTCAATGATCATTTCAATAAAGAAGACTCCCACATTTATGTATCTAGGCCTAATCTCTCTGCTGAACTTCGGTGCTACGGCACCAAATACCTGATAGGCACTTCTGTCTGGACATCAGTGTTCCATACGCATCTCAAATGCAACATGTCCAAAATAAAGCTTTCTTTACCACTGAAATTACCCTTCTTTCATACCTTTTTTTCTGAGGCACTGCCATTTTTCTTGTCACCCAAGTTTATAATTTCAGGGCTATCCTGAAATCTTTCCCTTTCTTTCATGATCATTATCCAATTAGTTTCCTAGTCTAGTCATTTCTAATTACACATCTTTTATATCCACTTCCTTCCCTCTGCTCAAATGGCCACCCCACCTAATTCAGGCTCTCATCACTTCATGCCTGGAGTACTGGGGGTAGTCACTTCACCTTTCCAACCTATCTTCCACAGAGATGCCAAAAATATCTTTAAGCTTAGGTTTGACTTGAGGTCAAGTCATTATTATTATCAAGAATCCTCACTAACTTAAAATATGATTTCTTACTTTAACACATAACTATTTGTTTCATCTGCCTCTTCAGCCAATCTGAACTGAATTTGAGGCCCAATAACTTAATCTTCTAAAGATCTTCTTAGCTAAGTTTGTCATCAAAAAATTGGCCACAGGATGATGAGTCTTCTGGCCATTATGACTAACAAAGAGTCTACAATCTGCTTTGTTATAGAAAGGACCTACATCAATTAAATTACTGATCTTTGGAGTATTGAAGAAGTATGAGTTTATTAGTAAACCTTATAAGCAGTAATTATCTCTTCATTATGGACTCATTACAAACCTGGTATTTTTCCTGTATGCATAAAGTGGAATTAATGAATATTCACTGACACATTTGATTCCAAATTGATGCCCCCATTTTCTTATATTTACAGTTCCTTTAAGACCTCCTGAAATTAGTTTGACAAGTCGAAGCCCCACAGATATTCTCATCTCTTGGCTACCTATCCCAGCCAAATACCGGCGAGGCCAAGTTATACTTTATCGGGTGTCCTTCCGAATCAGTACAGAAAGCTCTATCCAAGTTTTGGAGCTTCCGGGAACCATTCATGAATACCTCTTGGAGGGCCTGAAACCTGATAGTGTCTACCTGGTCAGAATTACTGCTGCAACAAGAGTGGGTTTGGGAGAGGCATCAGTATGGACTTCACATAGGACACCAAAAGCTACAAGTGTGAAAGGTACACTTTCTTAAATACATTATGGGGTGGGGTGGAATCTTTTTTTACTTCATTTCCTGAAGTAGAAGCTTTCTTTTACCATGATACTTAGGCCTAATGATTTTATATTTGAAGTTAAAAAATTCTGTTTCATGCTTCATTGAATTTCGCTTCATTTGTCTGATAGTGCAAACTTCTAAAATTTAGAAGAATCAACTGATTTTTATAGCAATAGGTTTGTGTTTTTCAAAATTTTGTTCTTTTTTCTATCCCTTTCTTCCATTCTTTATTTTTCTCCTTTCTTCATTTGATTCCTCCACTCTTTTGAAAGCTTTGGTGAGGGTTTTTTTGTCCTTCCTTCTTTTAACATTTTCTCTCTACATAATAACTCCTTTTCTTAGCAATTTCAATTTCCCAAAGCTTGTAGCCTGTGTCTTCTGTTGTGTGCTTAACTTTTTTATCCTTACAGAAAAAACCAAAAAAATCTATTTTTTTCTAGGTAGTAGCAAGTACATAAAGGAACATCCATGCCTGTTTCATTGCCTTAGTTTTGGTCTCCAAAATACAGGAATTCTAAGAAACATTTCACTGTGTAACTATAAATTTTGATTGCATTGGGAAAGCCAAGTGGCAGAGCATTATGTCCAGTGAATGGCTATTGTTTGAGAGTGTCTCAGTGAAGCAGAAATTTATTTCTTTTAAAGACTGACACTAGTAGTAAATAATGAGGTCTAGAGAATAGAGGCTGGTTAAAAAAAAAGTCCAAGAATTTTTTACACAAAGTGCAAAAATACCCAACCCTCTTATAAATCATTAGTCTCCCATTGGGAAAATTTGCAAGAGAAAAGACATCTACTTATAATTAGTATCTTTTTGCATAGAAACCATTGGGTTGCTTAAAAAAAACCTCTTTTAACATCTTGTTCACGCTATTAATTTGTATAGGAAATGCTTTCTTCAAATATAGTGCAAACATGAGTCTTCATTCAAGATTAATTATCACCAATTACAAACTAATGACTTTTTATTGTGAGTATGAGGTGTTTTTTTTTAATCTGATCAGTCTGATACAAAGAGCATTAGATTTAGAGGGAACAAACATAGATTAAGTTTCTGTTTTATGCCAGACACTCTGCTAAATGTTTAACAAATATTATCTCTCATTTGAGATAGAGAACCTCTTCTCCGATGTCCTCTGAGACTTTAAATCAGGTAACTTCTTTACTCCTGAGGCAACCCATTTCACTGTTAGAGAGCTCTAATTGTTAAGAAGGAGTTTTCACTCTAAAGCTAAATAGGCCATTCTATAACATCTCTGCATTGGTCCTTATTTGCTGAGTAGGGATGGGCGGAACAAATTTAGTCTCTCTTCTCTATGCTAGTCCTTTAATTACTGAAAAATAGGAATTCTCATCTTTTCTAAATTTTCCCTAGACTAAATAGTTTGAGCTCTTTCAATTTAGTTTTATGTGGCATGATCTTGAAGCCCTTCAACATCCTGGTTGCCCTCTTTTGGATGCCTCAACTCATCATTATTATTATTCCTAAAATTGGCTTCCCAGAAGTGAACACTTCTCTCCAGATGTGGTGTCATCAGTTGTTGGTTGGTAACAGATATTGGGCAGCTTTTGCAGGAAAGGGAGGAAATCGTGCTGAAAAACATTTATTTCCTTCAGTGTTTCATCAAGAAGAGGAAATTCAGTTTTTGGCTCGATTTTCCAGTAGTTTGTTAAATTTAATACTTTACTTTTTGTTTGTTTGTTAGATCTGTCCATCATTGAGAACACTCAAATCTCCTACAATTACAGCAGCGTTACCATACTTCCTTAGTCCTTGATGCTGTGTCTCTGTAAACACAGCCTGAAACTCAATACTTTTATAGATATTAAGTTTTTCTTACCTGGTTATACTTTTTATGTTCTGTTCTTGTTTTTGCTTTTAAATGTCTAGCCCCGAAGTCTCCAGAGTTACATTTGGAGCCTCTGAATTGTACCACTATTACAGTGAGGTGGCAGCAAGATTCTGAAGACACAGCAACTGTTCAGGGTTATAAGTTATACTACAAAGAGGAAGGGCAGCAGGAGAATGGGCCAATTCTTTTGGATGCTAGTGACTTTCTTCATACTCTCAGTGGTTTAGGTGAGTGTATAACTTGGTTCTTTCTTTTTTTCTGTCTAAGTAGAACAAAGAAATTGCACTTAAGATAGAAGAAACAGATACAGTAACAAATGAGAAGAATTGAAAATGCTTTTTTTCCCCTAAACTACTCGATTGCTTGCAACAAAACAGGTTTTTTGGAAGCTTTTCAAAATTTCAGTTACTTGTTTTGTCTCCTTACCTTTCCTCTGACTTTGTATCTTTCCACTTCTTTACAATGTATACTCCTAATAGAGTATTAGATTAATCCTGGTTAATTATATTTTGGGTAAGTGAAACAAAAATGCAGGGTAGAAACATCAATTGACTTGAAGATGATCAACAATTTTTTTTTTTATTTAAGAGCATCCCAAGCAGCTAGCGCCTAGACTTGCAGGGCAACACAGAACCAAAGATGAAATAACATGGCCTTAAGGATGGAGATGGATCATGGTAAAAACAACAAGTAGAACTGGGCCTCACAGTTTGGGACAAAGAATGGCTTCTATAACACAACCCATTATTTCCCTCTTAAATGGGTATTTCTAAGAACAAGGCACAGCAAACAAGAAAAGGAGAGGATAGGGCAAGAATTTCAAAGGAAATGGATAAAAGAGACAATACAAACCTGGTATAGCAGAAGCTTTACCTCTATGACAAATGATAAAAAAAAAATAAAGGAACAAGTAAGTCAGAAAATCAGAGTGACAAATCAGAAAAAAAAAATCAGAATAGATTAGAAAGGAAGAAAAGTAATGAGGATGACAAAGCAAAGGAAAAACTTCTTGGAAAGAAACACAGTAAAAGAAAGTTACTAAAGCAAGAGATTAGGGGGGAAATGACTGATCAATCTATGCAGAAAAAGAGTAGACAATTCAAAAACTTTGGATAGAGAAGATAAATTTAGGGGAGATGAAAAGGAGAGCCTCTGGGAATACACTAGTGTCAAAATAATATGAGCAAACCTAATTGCTGGGACAAAGTTCTCACCTAAATGAAGCAGGGAGTGGGGGCTGGTAAGAATAAAAACAAAAGAAATAAGTAAAGGAATATGGAAGCCTAAGCCACATAACTTTAAATGTAACTAGATTATACAGTCTGTTACAATGAAAGAAAATGACAATATTGGATAAGAAAAATAAAACAACACAGTATCTTGTATGTATGAAAAACATCTAAAAGTAAAGATACACATTGACTGGATATGAGAGTCTAAAACAAAATTTTCCTTGTATCATGCAATTTTTTTTAAAGCAGGAGTTGTAATCATGCTGTCAGACAGAGGAAAAATAAAAAATTCATAATATCAAGAAAGAAAAACAGGGAAACTACATTATGCTTAGAGTCAACATCAAAATTAAACGTGCAACAATGGCATAGCATATAAATTCAAAAGGAAAAATTAACTGAATTGCAGAAAAGTACAGCTAATAAGAATAATTGTAGGAAACTTGAATGTTCCTCTCTTGGCTAAATAGATCTAACAGATAAACAAAAAAGGGAAATTTTTAATTGAACAAACTGTTGAAAATTCTAGAGTCAAAAAAGTTTTCCATATTCTATTTTTTAAATTAATTTATTTTGAATTGTCAACAATCACTTCCATAATCTTCTGAGCTTCAAATTTTTCTCCCCCTCCCTCCCCACCTCCTTCCCCAAGATGGTGTACAATCTGATATAGGCTATACATATACATTCCTATTAAACTTATTTTCACATTAGTGATGTTATAAGTAAGAATTAGAGCCAATAGGAGGAACCACCAGAAAGAGGAAACAAAATACAACAGAAGAAAAAAAATAGCAAATAGTATGCCTCGGTCTGCATTCAAACTCCATAGTTCTTTCTTCTTTGTGGATAGCATCTTCCGTCATGAGGCCTTTGGAGATGTCTTAGATCCTTATATTGCCGAGAAGGGTTAAATCTATTAATATTAGTCATCGCACAACATGGCTGTTACTGTGTATGACGTTCTCCTGGTTCTGCTCACTTTGCTCAGCATCAGATCATGCAAGTCTTTCCAAGTTTTTCTAAAGTCAGCCTGTTCATCATTTCTTATAGCACAATAGTATTCCATTACATTCATATACCACAACTTGTTCAGCCATTCCCCAATTGATGGCATCCTCTCAATTTCCAATTCTTTGCCACCACAAAAAGAGCTGCTATAAATATTTTTGTACATGTGAGTCCTTTTCCCATTTGTATGATCTCTCTGGGATACAGCCCTAGAAGTGCTATTGCTGGGTCAAAGGGTATGCACATTTTTATAGCCCTTTGGACTGTTTTCCATATTCTAAATGGGAATATTGAAGAATATAAATAATTCTTAGTATCACTGCTCAAAAAAATAGCTGCCTGAGAAGATACATTCTAGTATATTACATCATTATGTCAAAGAACAATTATTTCATTAGCTTAGGAATTCACTATGAGGTATCCAGGCATATCATAACTCCCTGACATACAAAGACTTTTGGAACTGTATATATAGCTAATTGACAGAATATTCGCTCCTGCTATTAGTACTATTTCTTTTCTTAGGTATTAGAAGACTCACTGTCCCTTACTCTCCATTATCAGTTTATCCATTCTGACTTCTACCTATTCTACCACTATATTATTTAAAAAATTTTTTTTATTTTTTGGCGAGGCAATCAGGGTTAAGTGACTTGCCCAAGGTCACACAGCTAGTGAGTATAATGTGTCTGAGACTGGATTTAAACTCAGGTCCTTCTGACTCCAGGGCCGGTGCTCTATCCACTGCTCCATCTAGCTACCCCTACTATATTCTTTACCTGTTTTTTCCTTTATAAAACTGATTCTTCCAAATAAGTAATAGCTTAAAAGAAATGTAAGTTGCTTTTAATGGGCTTACCATCTTTCTGAAAAGACAAAACTAATATTTGTTTTGTTTTGTTTTGTTTTTTTGTTTGTTTTAGGCAATTGGAGTTAAGTGACTTTCCCAGGGTCACACAGCTAGTAAGTGTCAAGTGTTTGGTCTGAGGCCGTATTTGAACTCAGGTGCTTCTAATTTCAGGGCCAGTGCTCTATCCACTGTGCCACCTAGCTGCCCCCAAAACTAATATTTGTGAAACTAAAACAAACATATAAAATCCATGTAACAAAATGCAATATTGTGTGATTTAGAACAAATGTGCTGTAGAATTTCAGAGGCGGAAGTGAGGTAAGAGAGTTGAGTGAGGAATAAAGAAGAAAAATATCAGTTAAAATACCTAGAAGTTCACAGGAAGCAAAATTAAAGAAAGCCAGTAGTAAAATCCATGGCATCAAATGTCTGTATATGAAGGACAGAAGTAGACAGCAAACAATATAACTAAAGACCGTAATACAATGAAGCAAATTTGACCTCATGAGTGTCACTGAGACTTGGGATGAAACCCATGATTGGGTTCTGGGTGGGTATTACTCAGAAGAAACAGAATAGGTAAAAGGGAGTTAGGATGGTAGTAACATTGTGTATTAAGAAGATTATACAAGGAAATCCAGTAAAGAGAGGGAGGAAGCATGGTAGAGAGAATTTGAATTAAGATAAGTGGAAAGAAAAACAGGAGTAATTTTGTTTTCTAAATATGCTGCAGGCCATGTAGAAAGGAGAATCAGATTTCAGGAGACAGATAATCATAAACCCAGCTAAGAAAGGTGATACTGTAATTATCCCATGTAATAGTGTAATTTAATTATCCAGACATTTGGACAGCTAGGTGGCGTAGTAGAGAGAGCCTCCCGCCTTGGAGTCAGGAGGACCTGTGTTCAAATCCAGCCTCAGGCACTTGATACTTACTACCTGTGTGACCCTGGGCAAATAACTTAACCCCAGTTGCCTCACCAAAAGGCAAAAAAAAAAATTATCTAGACATTTGCTGGGCCTTTAGAGGTCTTTGGTCCAAGCAGACACTAACAATTTCTTTGACATATTTTAATAATTTTATCTTTAAAAAAGATGGAAGAACCTCCCCAATGGGAAATGTTAATGTGTATCTAATTCTCATTAACAGATAGAAAATGGTTGTGAAGATGGAAATGATGTGATCCTTGGGTGGGGAGGTGGGGGAAACACTTTCTTCTAAAGTTTATGATAGAAAAGGAGATGAAAGCTGAACATAATCTGGTATGTGCCCTAGAATTTGGGAAAGAAGATGTTAAGGGCTGAGAAGTAGAATCCCATTGATGTAACATTCTACAGGAATAGACAGACCAGGAGGGATAGAAAGCTTTCAAGAATGAAATTCTAGGGGGTGCACAAAGAATTTGCCGTGTAACTTAGTTTTTAAAAAGATATATACAGAATTTAGAAAAAAGGAAAAATAATGGAGGATGAGTAAAAAAGTATAGTATGCATGTTACAAGATTATTAAGTATGTAGGTCAAGGGAATGATATATAATTTATGTTTTCAAAGTATTTGATACATTATCTCATTCTATTTTTATGAAAACGTGGAGAGATGTGAGCTAGACTATAGTACGATTAGATGGATTTGGAACTGGTTAAGAGTTAAAGAGTTGTTATTAATGGGTGGATCTCAGCTTGTCAAGGTGCCTAAGTCAGAGTGCCCCAGGGATCTGTGGTTGACCTTCAACTGTTTAACATTTTTATTGGTGATTTGAACAAAGGCATAAATGGCATACTCTTCATATTTGCATTTGACACAAAGCTGCAAGGGATAACCAACATCCAGGATGTCAGTCATGATCCAAAAAGATTCTGACAGTCTAAGATGTTGGACAAAATCTAATAAGCTGAAATTCAATGGGCATACATCATAGACTTAGGCCTGGAAAATACTGCAGAAACCTTCTATTTTATAAATGAAGAAACAGGTCCAGAAATTGTGTTTTGTCTAAGTCTCATAGGTTAAAAAAAATGTCAGAGGTAGGATTTGAACCCTAATTCAAATGTCTCTAATGTAAATGTTCTTTCCACTGTACTATATTGTCTTGCAGTTGGGACCAAAAACAGGCAAACAAAACCAAAACAAAA